ATATATATTTCTTTCATATTGTTCTGGGGTGTTACTAATATTGTTTCCTTTTGTTCTTTTGTTCTTTTGTCCTTTTGTCTTATTGAGCCGAGGGTCTTTCGGAAACAGTTTCTCTACTCCTCCGGGGTAGGGGTAAGGTCTGCGTACACACTACCCTCCCAAGACTCCACTAGTGGGATTACACTAGGTTGTTGTTGTTGTTGTATGCAGTGTAAATTGTTAAGCTCGCCATCAAAAGAGTATTCCTAGTCGAATTTTGATTCATTAGGAAACAAAGTATAATTCACGAACTAAATGTCATCTTTGTTTCTATGCTCTTTTTGGAAGAAAATCAGAGAGCAATATTTTTCTAATAGATAAGACAGAGCATTCTTTCTTTTCTTTGGAAGAAGAGGTCCGACCGATCTAATCTCTAATCAATCCATGTTTTCCTTCTTTTAATAACCCTCCATTGGTAACTTTACTGTAACTTTTCCAACTTATCCTTCTAAATGGATCGGGTCAGTTTATGTTGGATTAGTTAGTGTTGATAGAAGTATTTAAGAAGAGTATGTTTTGTCCCTCTTTAAAAAAATAAAGAAAGGAAAAACTGTTTAAATGCACTTTTTTGTCTTATATAGTTTAAATATTTTAAAGAATATTTTAGTGGGAAATTAAAATTTGATTATCTTAAGTCAAGATTGGGCACTTAGACCAATTAAATAGTCCAATATTAATATTTTAGTCACGTATTATTTTATTAATTAATTTCACAAAACACTTTTACAAATTCAACATAGGTGACTGTTGATTTTTAAGAAAAGTGCATGTTTGTGAAGGGATGAGTATGTTAATTTCAACAGACTCCTAGAGGTATTATAATTACTGTCACACCTCCTTTTTCCGCCCTCGCGAGGGGCGTAGGGAGTTTTTCCAATTAAAGGACAATCGAAACGGGATTTGTTTATTTATTTCAGAGTCGTCACTTGGGAGATTTAGGGTGTCCCAAGTCACCAATTTAATCCCGAATCGAGGAAAATATTCGACTTTCCAAATGAAGTCTGCGAACCAGAAATTCTAAGTAAGGAATTCTATTGACCCGAGGGAAGGTGTTAGGCACCCCCGAATCCCGTGGTTCTAGCACGGTCGCTTAAACTGTTGTAATGGCTAAAATATCTGATTTTAATACATGTTCAAAAACTATAGTGCAATTTTAACTTTTAACCGCTTTTATTGTTATTATTATTATTTTTACAAGAATGTGAACATTGTTTAAAACATGTCTTTGGATTACGTCACATGAAATGCACCCGCAATCCGGAACACATTTTATTCAATGTTTTGGGATTTGGATTTGGGTCGCAAAAATGCGCACCCGTGTTTAAGAATGTATTATTATTAACATCGTGCCTAAAGCGATTAACGTATTATTATTTATGGGTAAGACCGTGGAATTCACTAAACAGTCCATCCCGAATTCTAAATACTCAATTAAACATTTATTGAGGGCCCCGCAATTGGTGCATTTTATTGGGCGAGGCTCATCTCATTTATTTTTAAAAGACAATCCTAAAATGCCTACATTATTTTCTTATAAATCTGTCTCTACAAAATAAAATAAAAAAATATCTTAATTTATTTACATGCTGAAATTAAC